GGTCAATAATTTGGAACCTTAGTTTAAATTATTTTATTTTTTTTAAATAAAAAATAATAAAAACGTTTGACAACTAAGATTGAAAGACCCAAAACTTGAAAGGCACAAAAAATAAGTGACAAGGTTAATGAGATAATTGGTGAATTAGCATGAGACAGGATAAAAAGGCTCTGACATTAATTTAGTATTAGCTATTCTCATATTGACGAAAACCGACCTCCAATAATAGCTTGTTCATTGTCTTCCCATCAGCATTGATGAAGTCAACATCCTCCACAGGTAACCCACATTCGTGGAGCAACCGAAGCATTTGTTCCATAACAATGCATACCTAAGAAACATTTCAGTCAGTAAATAGTGGTCACACAGAGAAAATATTGGAAAGAAGTACAACATAAAAACACAGGTAGAAATTCTTAGAAGTGAAGCTAATAGAACAAGAACAATATATATATATATATATAAACAGTAGTGGGCATTCAAGAGCAGTTGGCAATTCTAACACAACTAGATTTATTAAAATCCATTTGTTGGTTTGTTATCTCATTGAACACCCTTATAGTTGATTCAATGGAAACCCCTCATTAACTTGTCACCAACAAAATATATTGATTCGTGTCGCATGGCCTTAAAAAACTAGAATCTCATACTACTCTAGAGTATCATTTTTTCCCTTTGTTATTTAGTATTTAAAAGAACTTGTAAGAGCTCACCTTGCTATCAACTTTTAGAACAGGCTTATTTCCCATATATAGTGCACCCATCAATTGAAGCACGGGAATCTCTAAAGGAAAATTGAAAGGAGTAATTATCGCTGTCTGCACAAACAATTTTTTAAATTTTCAGTTGGTGCAGAAAATGCATATCATCAGAGGTAATCTACTGTTGTGAAAACAAGAATTTCTAGCTGATCAAACAGAAAATTATGACAGAATCTGTAGATCCATTAGATGTTTCTATATATAGAAAGATTGGAACTTGGCCGAAAAAAGTAAACATCATAAATGATGAAAATTAAGTATTCATTGTCCAAAATGAAATCTAAATTGTCATTAAAAGATTAAAAAAAATGAATACATATGACACAACAGTTATATAAATGAATAAAAGATTCAGTCATGTTCTGTTGCTTACGTGCCTACTACCTAGTTATTGAATTTTGAAGAAGGAAAGGTTCTACCCAGTCGAGTAGAGCTCTTCACCAAACCCATATACTATAAAAATCACTCATGCTGGCATTAGTTACTATTCTTTCAAAAATCATTGTAACAAGAGCTCGATATAAAATTAAAATGGAGTGTTTGTTCTTCATAGCATGTCCTTGAAACACAATAAGCATATATCAACTTTTTCTTGTCAAAATGGTATGAAGGAAATAGAGTTTTAAAAATCGGCTGTTACATATCGTATTGGCCGTTACGTAATGGGATTTTGACCTTCCGATACCATTATTCACTGATATATCAATCAACACTGTCTGTTACTTTCTGATATTGGTTGATATATGACCGTATCATCGATACCGATACATATCTTGATACCTATATTTAAAACTAAATAACAAACTCATTTTATACCGCTATTAAGTATAAGGTGGATTGTCTCCATGTATATGGATACAGAACATTATCCTAAAAGGTTGTGTAACATAGTTCTATTAAAATCAATTGAATAAGTTGACAAAAGGGTAACTTACAGGACCATAAGGCCAACGAAAACCATGACTTTGCTGCCCAAGATGATTCCCAGGTACTGCAAAAGACCTAGCCAGGAAACGAACCTGCCAAACATGTGGAAATCAAGATGTAAAGGTAAACAGATGTAATAAAAAAAATTAAAAATTAAAAAAAAGCTTGGCAGTGTCCTTCAATTTTATTGAGATTTGTAATAATATATTCGGTCAGACAAGGCAAGAAATTCATAAAAAGAAAAAAGGAGGTTTGAAAAAAACTAAAAATAATTAGATAGAAAGAAAAAATTGATGACTATATTAGGCTTTGATGCCGAAAAAGATTACGGGAATAATCTGATTAATAGCTTAACAATTTAAAAATGAATACAAGCATTACAAGTATTCAGATACCATATACAATGTACATATATATATATATATATATTTCTCATTCTCTTTTGGTTCAATGAAACAAAAAATAATCAATACAGGATCACTATGTACCTGATCACCAGCAAAATTCTCCAGAAATTTTTGAGTAACATAAACTTCACCATGAGCCTGCTGGTAGCTCTTCGGAGCCACCCTCTGTATTAATTTGCAGAAGAAATCGGAAACCTGAAATGCACACATAAGGCCAAATTAGTACAAAAGTAATGCGAAACATTATCTAATATTGATAATAAAATAAAATAAAAAGAGCAAGAAAAAGGCGCTGGTCTCATTCAGTCTTCCTTTTTCTGGGGCTATCTCCCCACTCAACTTGACTCAAACATTGGCAGTTTTTGCTTTTTAGAAAAGGCAATTTTAGAATTTATGTAAAACTCCATAAAAGTGCTTTTTCTAACTTCCACCACCCACATATATGGTTCTAAGGGGTTTAAAATTGTTTTTTTTTTTTTTTCACTAACTCAGAACTAGCAATTGGTTCTAATCTTCAAATGTCATTTATATGTTGTATCAACCCTGATACTTGGACTTTTAGAATTGTAATGCAGATATATCTAGCGTGCACACACATACTCACACAACCCTTCTTGTTTATCACCTATAGTGGGTCTTGGTCCTTTTATCTGGAAACAATTAACAGTCACGATTTTGAATCTGTATGCTTCTGGCTGTCATCATCTAAGCCAGTGGTTGAAATTGTAATCCACATACTTTGGTGATTGTACATTTGAAATAGTGATCAACTCTTCATTGCTCTTGATGAGATATTGTCCTTCCATGTAATTTATTTTTTTTTATTGAAAGCAATTTACTTGGATTTTCAAAGCAATTTACTTGGATTTTCTGGATTGTCTGTTTGTTAATGTACTTGATTCATGTTATTGATAGAGATCATACTGCCAATTAGTGTTCTATCTTCTTGGTCAATTCCTTCAATGGTTGATGGCCTGAAACCAGGTCAAAGAAAGATCCTTTTCTGTTCTTTCAAGTGCAACTTTGTGAAGGAAGCAAAAGTTGCTCAATTCTCTGGTTATGTATCTGAGCATTCAGCTTACCATCATGGTGAGCAGAGTCTTGCCAGTACCATCATTGGCATGGCACAGGATTATGTGGGCAGCAATAACTTAAACCTGCTTTTACATTTTTATTCCAGAACTAAGGCAGGTATATGGCACCCATAATTATCTACTGGAGTCTGAGCCTCTCAATAATCTTGATAATGATGAATATTTGCTATTTTATTATTGATAATTTAATCCCTTTATTCATGTTTCATAATGATATGTGTTCTTGGTTCTGGCCAGAAGTAACTCGATTGCATTTTATTTCTTAATACTTTGCTTTAAAAGCTTGAAGCGTACTTCGCTGCCTTCACCCTATTGCAAGCTTACTTTGTGAATTGCAGTCATAGGTTCATAATTCTAATCAGGTTGAATACTTGAAATAAGTGATTTGTCCTTTCCCCAATATTTGCTTTTAAATGAATTATTTTCATTTTTAGGAGAATTAAGGAGTTGAAGACAGACATTGATGTTCCTGATGACGTTATTAATCAATTCAAGAACTTCTGGTTGAATTTCAAAGATACACCTTTAAAAGGTAAAAACATCTTATAAAATTCAAGAAGTTCTGGTTATATATATTTATACACATACATATATCTATGTTTGGATTCTATTTGCTTCTGCACCAAGTTGTTTAGGTTGCTGTTCTACTTTTCTAGTTTTGCCTAACACGTCAACGTCACCACAGGGAGGAATGCCATTCTGCGAGGTATATGCCCACAGATTTTTGGACTCTTTACTGTAAAGCTTGCAGGTGTTTTATCATCCCATTTTAATTTGTCCCTTTTCACTTAACTTCTAAGGTTGCCATTGCATTGTGTGCTTCAGTTTTGGACATAAAAATAACTATATTTAGTGATGATTTTCCATCAATCCAGTTGCATTAACACTTATTGGAGGTGTGCAACATGCTGATGCTTCTGGGACGAAAGTTCGAGGAGAGTCTCATTTGCTTCTGGTTGGTGATCCAGGTGACCTTTTTCTTTTCATATATAATATACTTCATATTTTATAAGTAAATTCTTGCGTGCTTCCTGTGGCATAAATTTGAACAATTCAAAAGCAAAGAAATCGTGAATATAGTCGATCATTATTAACTACACTGCCCCACCCATGGTCATTGCTTCCTTAAACTTGTTTACACTTCTAGACTGACTAGAGTTTTGCTTTGATTTTGTAAATTTTAATTCAGTATTAAGTTTTCACTTGATAAACTCTCTTAAACCTTTGGAAATTATTCTACTTTTGGCGTTACTATAATTAAAACTGGACTAAAAAATTAAATCCTCACTCCACCCTATAATCAATCATGACATTTTGTTGATCTAGTCCATTCATGATTGACTAGACCTGGCATGGCACTGAGGATGCTGTTACAATTCTAAATACTGATCTTACACTACCATACATTTACACTAGTCTCATATCACAAATATATGTCATTTTTGCTTCATGAGCTAGATTGAAAATTGTAGCATGTAATTTTAATATGCATTCCTGTAGTTAGAACATTGAACCTGAAATACTTTCTTAATACCTCCTGGTTTTGGTATTATGATTACTTATTAGAAGTACAATATGCTAGAGGGAGTAATACTGCTAAGTTATCTTGTGCAAAGTACTGTAAAATTATGTCTGCTTTTGGGCTACAGTACATATATATTTAAATCGGATGACTAACTTGAGCAAAGGCTATTTTCTGTTCACAGACATCTAGATGAAAACAAGTAACCTAATCGTTGTGCACTATGCCAAAGGTTAGGTGTGTACCCAATCTTTCCCCTCCTAAACAGACTAATTGGGCGTTGTTTTTTTAGTGTTGGTCTTGAATGAATACCAATCTACTCTTAAACACAAGTACTTGTTTCTTTCTGTATATAGGCTAAAAATTTCTATTGCCCTTCACATTAAAGAACAGTGTCCCAAGGAAATACCAAATTTCACGTGCATGCCAATTCAAATTCACACTGGGTACAATATTGACCAAAATTGCACTAGAACGGAATGTGGCATGTACTTGTAGGATTTTCCTTATGGTTGATCCATATTGGTTGTTTTGAAAATCCACTTGATTGTGTGAACTAAGTTTCAATCACATCTAACATCAATATGCATGTGATTATAGGACAAGTTGTGGAGTTAGAACACTGCTAGTTATCTTTTAAGTTTTGATTTTTGAATTGAGCTTTTTTTACTC